GGTATAAACACATAGTTTGGTTACCGTTGCTGAGCTTGGCCAGCACGTGGGACACGCGCATTCTGGAGTGCGTCTACAGTGTGTAGGCCGGCTTTCTCAGCCAGAGTGCCGTAGCACTGGGGTACATTCTGGCTTCTTGGGGAGGAAGCTTTAAGAAGAACGGCGGGCAAATCTTATATTAAGTCTTGGAGATGGACTACAATCTCACATTTAAATTTTTATCGAGATTTGAGTCTATTATGGGTGCAAGCTCGGAGCGGTGGCTACTCTACAACACAGGAACCATGGTTAAAGGAGAACTATGAGGTGAGTGCTTTTCACTCACCTCATAGTTCAAGCCGACCTGTGACAATGAGACAGGTCGGCTCAGTAGATCGGGAGGTGAGCGAACATATACCGGTGTTCGCTCACCTCTCGATCTTGTCACGGCTCTCTGCCATGACAGGGGAGGGGCTGGATTGCCCGCTCCGATCTGCCAGCGCTGACTGGTGGAATGGGAGGGGGCGGGTACAGCTGGCTCTGCCTCTAGATAGTCAGCTGTCAGTCATGCAGCTGGGCGGATCCCGGCACAATTGTTGGGATCCGCTTCAGCTGCGGCGTCTCAGTATACCGCGAGCTACAGCTGTAAATTGTTTTTAATGGGGTATTTGAATGCCATTTTAAGATTAAATTCTGAGGGAGTAAAGCTGGCCACACCTTACAACCATCGCAAGACTTTTGTCTTGCGATAGTTGTAAGGTAATTAAAAAAACGTACGATCTGCCCATCTTGGACAGGCAGATCGTACTTGTGATAATCACAAGCCCACCCCGCTGAGGGGCGGGCTTCCGATGACCGCAATGCTGAACGAGCAGTGTACGCTTGCGAACACCGGCCCGTTCGGCATTCATCTTACGAGCATGCCACACACCCGCCGACAATCGTACGATTCTCGGCGGGTTTTCAAACATGTTCATAAGAGAAGTCGTGCTACTGTACAGTAGAAACAGTCGCACGCCTTCCACACACTTTGCGATTATCTACATCTATTATCTAGATATCATCATACATATTATCTACATATCACAGATATTTCAATTTGAAAAGAGAGCTCTGACCCAAATTAGTACCTAGTTGCCAACAAGTTTCTTACAAGTGCTTGTAGTCTTTTGGCAGTAGATAGTCTGATTACTCTTGTCACCTCACAAATGTTTTTGGACTTTATGTGATCGGGGTGAAGTGCTGGTGTTAAAAGTCCTAACCCCAAACCAAAACCTGGTCTATGTAACCTAAAGCCAACTTCAGGAGGCAACAGCCTTTCTTACAGCAGGCTAGCACCTCCAAAGTTGATAGGCCAAGTCCTTCACATATCCATAACTCTATAAATTGAGTTGTATGAAAATAATTATTGTAATCTGCTCTGGATAGCAAGTTGCTTTCTTAGCAGTAATAGTTTGTCTTAATTTATATCTGTATGGTTCCCCATTTTGCATTTATTTGGCATCTCCTAGCTCACCAGGCTTTGAAAAGCATGCGCATGCTTAACCTTGTGCCGCTTACAGGAGTGGTTAATACAAGTACTGCTGACAACCTTTTCCTAGTAATGTGCAGAAGGTCCCCTTATCACAGGCTCCGCTGTCCCCCCCCCCTGTGGGACCCGCACAGTGACTCCTTACACTAGCAACGGAGGAGAGATCAGCATTCCCCCCACTGCTGATCTCTCCTCCGATGGTTGAAGACAGAAGTGATGTGAATTACATCACTTCTGCCTTTTAGCTGTCATTTCTCTGGCTGCTACAGCCAGAGAAGAAACTGGTGAAGTAGATCTCTGCTTTATCAGCTTTTTTGGGAGGACCAAATGACAGGGGTCTTGAGGAGCCCTTATGTCTCCATAAAGAGTACCTGTCTTTTGTATATTGGCTATCGCATAGGGGGCTTCTTAACCCCCTATTTGATAGCTGTGAAGTATAAAAAACAAAGTTTAAAAAATAAATTAGTCCCATATAAAGAAAAAAGTAAAAAAAACACAAAAAAAGTCGCACACAGATATATATTTGTCGGGCTAGCCTACGTGCAAAAACAAAGATTATGCTGCGCATGTTCCATATCACTGCAAACGTCTGAGTGTAAGCAATAATTCTAGGACCATTAAACACTGATAACACTAAACTGATGAGTGATAAAAGCTTTTAAAGCGTCGCATATGGACAATTTTTGGCATGGTAGTTTTTGCGGGTGCGGGCAATTTTAAAGCTTGACATATTTGTTGTCTATTTACCCAATGTGATCCCATCTTTTGTATTTTATTTTTTTGGGGTAAATATAAATGTGTTTGTGACTATTGCACCTGCCCACTGCCTGCTGTCAATCAGCAGAGGAGTGACCTGATGGAGAAGTGAGGCGCTCTCCTTACAGCTGGGCACAGGCTGCAGGGGACTATGTCCCCGCTGGGATCGGAGGGGGGAGGAGAGAACTAGGGGATCCAACCAACTAATTGATAATAAGAACTATTGTCCTTATCGATCGGTTAGTGGTTGTAGCCCTATTTAGTAGTTACTGAACTTTGTTGCACAGACATGCTTAAATGTCTCAAAAAAATGTGTGCTGGATTAGTATGTCACATATACATCTGCTGTTGAGTCATGGCAGTAACTTTATTATTTTTTTTTTATTCAGTCTCACATTATGGCAGGCAAGGCAGTTGCTAATACCCTGAGAACATCATTGGGACCCAACGGTGAGTTACCTACATTAACTTCTAGAACTACTACGCTAAGTGCTTGCTATATAAAATGACGACAGCCCTTGACATGCAGTGGAACCTGTTGTGTTTCCTTTTTCCCCAAGTCATCTTCCAGGGCAGCATCTGAGAGCGAGAATCCACCCACCCAAACAGGAAACACATCATCCACAATTAAAATCAAAGGGTCGGTACAGCCCCACCACCTCAGTTTTGTGTTTCCTCCGGCCTAACGGGAGCATCGTAACCATTTTGTTATTTTCTCTATAAGCCTGCGTGCTAGTTGCAGCGGCCTCCCAGTGTGTGCTCCCCCTTTAGATAGGCAGAGCCAGCTGTCAGTCACGCAGCTGGGCGGATCCCGGCACAATTGTCGGGATCCGCTTCAGCTGCGGCGTCTTAGTATACCGCGAGCAGCTCCTCGGGGTATACTGCGGCGTCTCAGTATACCGCGAGCTACAGCTAGCGGTATACTGAGCCTAGGGTGACGGGAGGACGCTAGTTTGTGTCCTCCTGTTACCCTAAGGAGAACTATGGGGAAAAGACTTAACCCCATAGTTCTCCTTTAACTCTCCTTTATGGTTGAGTCTGCCGCTCTATAAGAGCCAGCATCTATCTTTTTCATGGTGAGGATTATTTTCTTCCAGTCTACAACTGCTAACAGGCTGAGCCGATCCATTCATTGTATCGGCCTAGGTGTGGGGCCTTTCTACTGATTAATCTGCTTGCAACCTTTGGGTTTCTTGTACATCTCAGAGTGTACAGTACCTTTTAAAGTCCATGATGAGGGCCTCTTTAGCTGAATTACTACAGCTTTATCTCACCTGGATAGAAGCTGTATAAACATTTACAGGCTAAGTGAAAGGGCATGCAGCGTCCCTTGCCGTATGCTGACACAGCAATACAAGGCTTTTCTCTGGTCTACATCTCTTGCACAGCTTGATATTGGTAGTCAAGCACCTGTAAGCACTTGCATGACTGCAAACTATCCCATTTACCTCTTTAACCTCTTGCCGTCCGCCCGTAGTAAAAAAACGGACGGACGGCCCTAGCGGGCACGCACGGGCAGAAAAGACCCGACGGTTGCACACACCCGTTACCGGGTGTTTCACATATAGGCGATCGGCGGGTCCATGGATCCCGGGACCGGCTCCGAGGGCGTCAGGAGGAGGAGGACGGGAGATCAGCTCCTTGCTGATCCCCGTCCGGGCTGTGAATGCAGAAGTGATGTGTGTTACATCACTTCCGCATTCACCTGTCAGTCATCTGGATAGAGAAGAAGCTGATAAAGCAGATCTCTGCTTTATCAGCTTCTTTTGGGGTCCATAGGTGATATTAGGGGTCCTAGAGACCCCTAATATCTCCATAAAGAGGACCTGTCAGTGTGCCTTTGCTATTATATAGGGGGTTGTTATCCCCCTATATAATAGCAATAACAATAAGTGCAAAAAAAAAAATATAAATAAAAAAAAAGAAAAGTAACACATAAAAAAATAAAATAAAATAAAAGCCACATATAAAAAAAGGGGAAAAAACCCCCCCAAAATGTTTAACTCCCCCACCCCCACGTTTACGCGCCTATAAACGTAAATACGCGTCCGGTGCCCCAGCGCGCAAAAATTACAATTGCGCTACACATGTTACATATCGCCGCGAACGTCGCAGTGAGAGCAATCATTTTAGGGCCATCAATCACTGATAACACTAAACTGATGAGCGGTAACAGCTTTTAAAGCGTCGCCTAGGGCCAATTTTGGGTATTATCGTTTTTTGAGGTTTCGCGCGCGCACGCAATTTTAAGGCTTGACATGTTTAGTGTCTTTTTACCCGACGTGACCCCATCTTTTATATTTTACCAAAAAATTGGGTAATAATAAATGTTTTATCATTTAATATAGGGGAAACTGTTTTTTTTTTTAAATTTCGGTAATTTTTCCTTAATATAGTAAAAAAATAAAACCCCCAGTGGTGAATAAATACCACCAAAAGAAAGCTCCATCTGTCCCCAAAAAAGGGCATTAAATTCATTTCAGTACAGCGCTGCATGACGGAATAAATGTCAGTCAAAGTACCGCAGCGCTGAATACTGAAAAATGGCCTGGATGGGAAGGGGGTTTAACACCGCGGATGTCAACTGGTTAAGGAGAGACTTGACTGGGTTTAATATGGTCATGAGCGTCAGTAGCGGGCATACCTTTTATGTATTGGTATTATTGTACTGTTTTCAAAATAACCAATTTATTGCTTTAATAAAAGCATCTTTGGGTCATGAGGTAGTTATGGAACTTAGTGTTGCGCATACCTCATGTGTTGGTATCACTTTACTGTCGCTGGAATAAACACTTTATTGTTTTAGTAAAAGCACCATCGTTCATGCAGTGGTTAATTAACCTCAATCAGGCATACCTTATGTATGGATGCTACTATGGTGTCTATGATTACCCATTTACTGCTTTTAGTGAAAGCATCACAGGTACATGGGGTAGTTATGAATCTCAGTGGTTGCGCATACCTTGTTTATTGGTATTACTATACTGCCGCTGAGAACCAATTTATTTGCATTAGTAAAATAATTTTGGTTCAGGAGATGGTTAGGACCCTCGGTATGTACATTCCTTATGTTAGAATTACCTACTGTCTCTTAAATGTACCAATTGTGACTTTAGTAAAAGAATATGGTTCAGGAGACAATCGGGACCCTTCGTATGTGCATATGTTATGTTGGTATTACCATACTGTCTCTGAAATAAACCAATTTCTGCTTTGGTAAAATAATATGGTTCAGGAGATAGTTGAGACGCTCGGTATGTGCATGCCTTAAGGTGCCCATACATCTTACAATTATCTGCAGATTTTCTGTGGTCAGATGGAAAAAGTGCAACAGATTGGCCCAGGTGGAGATTACTCCATCCACGCAGTTAAGTGTAGATGGAGGAATCTGTTGCACCTTTTCCATCTGACCACAGAAAATCTGCAGATAATTGCAAGGTCTATGGCCAGCTTTATGTGTTAGTATAGCTATACTGCCACTGGAATAAACACTTTATTGCTTTAGTGAAAGCAACGTTGGTTCATTAAATAGTTAATGAATCGCAGTTGGGCATTCCGTTATGTATCGGTGTTCCTATGCTGTCTCTATGATGACCCATTTACTACTGTTAGAGAGAGCATCACGGGTACATGGGGTAGTTGTGAATCTCAGTGATTGCGCATACCTTGTTTGTTGGTATTGCTGTACTGTCGCTGAGAACCAATTTATTTGCTTTAGTGAAAGAATTATGGTTCAGGAGATGGTGGGGTCCCTCGGTATGTGTATACCTTATGTTGGTATTACTATACTGTGTCTGAAATGAACCAATTACTGCTTTAGTAAAAGGATATTGGTTCAGGAGATGGTGGAGACTTGCACTATTGCATACCTTTTAGATGTTGGTATTGCTATACTGTCTCTGAGACAAACCGATTTTATTTTAAGTGGTAGTTCTTTCGCTCATGAGGTAGTTATAAATCTCAGTGTTGGGCATACCTAATGTATTGATATTACGATGCTGCCTCTAAGATGACCAATTCACTGCTTTTATGTAAACATTGGTTCATGAGATGGTTATGAATCTGTGTTTGCGCATGCCTTATGTATTGGTATTGCTATACTGTCTCTGAATACAAATCCATTGATTTTAGTGGAACCATCATGGTTCATGAAGTAGCAGTGAATCTCTGTCCTGGTATTACTATACTGTCTCTGAAATAACCAAACAACTGCTTTAGTGAAGGCATCTTTGGTTCAGGAGGCCATTACGGATCTGTTTTCCCAAGTAATCTTCCAGGACAGCATCTGAGAGATAAGTCTCCTCCCACCTGAAACACATCACATACACCAAATAAAAGGGCACTTGCCCCCAGCATACCTAGTTATGTGTTTTCTCGGCCTAACAGGAGCATGGGAGCACTACAGAAATATGACAGATGTTTTTGTTTTCTGGATAGGCCTGCGTGCACGTGGCAAGGGCCTGCTGCCCGGTTATCTCCTTCCTTTGGGGCCAGTGGTCTTGGAGATACCTGGGTAAGATCCCTAGGGCAGTCCCCATCCTGTCCCACCCTTAGGGGTGAATTGGCCCTGAGGTTCCTCTTAAGAGGGCAACCATCCTCCTTTTTGTGACCGCTCCAGTGGAGCTTTTCCCAGCTAGCAGGGGTTACAGCTGCCTTCTTGGGGGACTCTGGCGGTCTGATGTGGGCACCTGCAAGGCTTTCAGTTTGCGCTGAATGAGTAGCCGCCGGTCTGTTAGGATCACACCCCACCTTGCCGTTTTTCGTTACTCACTGTTGTGTAGTGGCAGCAGGGAGCCTCGCGCCATTGCAGGTTGTTTCTTTGCGGCCGCCTCGAGCAGAGGCTCATGGGGCTAAGGCGCACAGCAGTGACGTCAGACGCCGCCGAAAGACTGAAGCGCTGTCGGAGGTCACAGGCCGGGGTGGAGGTTGGGAATGGCGTCAAATGACGCGTTTCCGGTCCGGCCATAAGAGGGATGTGTCCCGCTCGGCCATGGCGCTAATCAGACCCTGGAGGGAGGGCCAGCTACCCGGCGTAGAACCTTGTGGCACCAAACGAGGTGGGAGCAATCGGAGCAGGGGCGGAGAGCGTGGACCTTCGCATTGGTCAGCGACCATGCCAGCAGACTCTGCAAATGTTGCTGCACCCACTGATCTGGGAGAACCCTCTGCAGCCAGCTCTAAGGTAGGCAGGTGCACGGCACCTTAAACTACCCTGTACCTTTTGGTGGTGGGGCCCCTTGGGGGCAAGGGTACATTGAGGGGGCATAGTGGCTCTTGGGAGGGGTTACTAAACACAGCGTGTGTTTTTTTTTGTTGTTTCAGGCTAGGAACCCTGAAGAAAAGCCCACAGCCGTGCCCTCAGGCTCGCGTCCCAAGTATAGAAAGTGTGCCGCCTGTGGTGACAGATTAGCGTCCTCACATAAAAAGCCACTATGCCAGCCATGCTTGGA